AAGTCAGTCATCAGGGAAATAAATTCAGTCAAGAATGGAATTCCCAGCTGATCTCAGCACTTGTGGGAAGCTGAGGCAGGAGGATCAACACAAATTCGAGGCCTGCCTGAACTACACAGTGAGACTTCATCTCAGAGAATGAGAGAGAGAGAGAGAGACAGACAGACAGACAGACAGACAGACAGACAGACTTGCCAAAAGCTGCACCAGGGCATCCATCCCCTCTCTTATCCGGGCAGCCAGAAGGTAGGAGACAGCAGAGCAGGTTCACAGAAAGCAGGCGATATGAAAGGGCTGCCCAGGCGAGAGAAAGGGCGTGAAGTACCGATCACTGATCTCAAAAATATCCCCTAATACTGTGGCATGGGTGGCAGCACACACTTGTGATCCTAGCTCCTTAGGAGGTGGAGAAAGGAGGATCACAAGTTCAAAGCCAGGCTGCGTAATTTAGTGAGATTCTAAGGGTTGGAGATGTAGCTTAGTGCTCTGTGGGTTTAATTCTCAGTACTACAAAACTAATAAAAGCCTGTGCACTAAAAATAACAACAAAAGGAATGGAAAACAGTAGGAGAGGTGGCAGCAACACTGAGAGACTCTGAGCCATCTCAGGGCAACAAGTCCCACTGTAACTTTGAAGTATTTCTTTTCATGAACTTATATTGCTCCACTTCTAAATATGTAGTAATGGGTTGGGGATGCAACTCAGAGGTAGAGTGCTTGCCCTGGGCTCAAGCCAAGTGTGCTGTGCACACACATGAGTATACACACACAGAAACACACACAAAGTAATTTTCAATTTTTCCTTTCCATACAAGCCTTCCATAACCCCAAAGCTAACTTGAAGGGGTGAGAACTTGAAAGGGTGAGAATGGAACACCAGTAAGAAACTTCTGGCAGCATCCAGCCATGACAGCCACTTGCGCTGTCTACCTGGGTCGTATGCTGGGATGATGGGACTCCATCTAGCCATTTAAACTTAAAAAGGATCCCAGTAATAGCTCTGGTGGAAGGGAGAAAAAAGTGATAGCCAGGCATAGCATGAGCCTGTAATTGCAGCACTTGGGAAGCTGAAGCAGAAGGATCAGGAGTTCCATCCAGGGCAGGCTGAACTACATGATGAGTTCAGGCAGCCTATCCACACAGCAAGACCCTGTCTGAGAAAACTTTTTAACAGGGACATTCACATCAGATAGCACTAACTCCCTGTACCTTTCTTCCCCTTGGCACAGCCCCTGCCCACATCCTGGCAGTCTGAACTCATCCACTCAGCTGCCAGTGTTGCTTCCATGCCACATGGAGAGAAGTGGGAGCTTGGGATTCCACCTGGGTTATTCTCTCTGTGAGACGCTGACTGTGTCCTATTACGGAAATAACAAACCCAAGTATCTTAGCTCCTCTCCATGAAGTCAGGAGGGTTTACCATGGAGGGTCCATATACCCACGCACATCCACTCCAACTCTCCTGGTCCAGTTCTGTTTCTTTTTTTTTCCTGGTACCAGGAATTGAACTTAGGACCTTGAGCTTTCCAAGCAGGTGCTATACCATTAAGTCTTATCTCCAACCCAAGACCCTGTTTCTGAACAAAAATGTAAAAACAGGTGGGAGCTGAGCATGGGGCCACACACCTGTAATCCCAGCACTTGGAGACAGAAGTGAGAGTTCATAAATTCAAGCTCAGCTTGGGCTACACAGTGAGACTGTCTCAAAAAGAAAAAGCATAGGAATGCCGGTCAGTTTGAAGGCCTGCGGTTCAAACTGCAGTTCACCCAAAGAGTTGAATGCAATTCTGGAGCCATGGTTATTATGGAAGCCCCCCAACAGTTCACTGTATTTAAACTTACCACTGACAGCTACAAAAAAATGATACTTTTAATGTTCTCTCAAAAAGAAAGCAATCTATTCTGTGGAAGTCTGGTAATTATCTTTTCCAATTTTTCTGTCTCCTACATAGCTCACTCACATAGTTAAGGAAGCTACCAAATAAAAGCTGCCTCAACTGAGCTGGAATTTGCCTTTAAAACTGCTTCCCCCACCCCCAAGCAGCATGTCCCAGTGAAGAACAGTAGTTCAGCCAGCTCTTCATCATTGTCTGAGGAGCGAGCTGGTGGGCAGCACTATAAGCCCACAGATAATTCCCAACTGCACTGCATCTGGTACAGCAACTGTAGCAACTGCTGCCTTTTTATGGAGGCTGCTATCTATGCTTGAGAAAAGGAGGCAAAGTGCTGAGATCACCTCCCAGGTTCCCTTTAAATTCTAACAACCCAGAACCCAGAACCAGAAAACTCCAAAGGGACCATACTTTCCTTCCCAGTAATTTCCAGGGAAGGGATGCTGGAACTAGAGGCTGAGATTCACTATTACCCTTCCCAAGAATCTCCAGAGGCAGGTGTGGAGGCACAAGCCTATAATCTTAGCACTTAGGAGTAAAGGGCATCCCTCCAAGTTCAATGCCAGAATGAACTAGTGTGAGACCTTGCCTCAAAAAAAAAAAACAAAAAAGAACAAGGATTCTCTACAGCAAGAGTAGCTTTCAGCTCCTTCAATGCTTAGGTCACACATGGCTAGAGATGCCCCAATTTTGGAATATTTAATAATCTCTTTAGCATGTGTGAGGACCTGGGTTTAATCCTAAGCACCAAAAAAGCAATTTAGAATTGTTTCATTGTTATTTTTGTTCAGTAATGTGGAATCGAAGAATCTTTTTTTGTGTGGTTAAACTGGCCAGGCTGGCCTTGAATTTGCAAATCATCAGGCTTCACCTGAGCCTCTTAAAATATAGTAGGTGTGTGCCACCACACCTCGCTAGAATCTGCATTTCTAAAAAATGGTTCTGAAACTTTCTAGGAAAAGTGCTCAGTCTGCAAAGTGGCTCTTCCCTCACCCTTCCTCAACTGTGCCTCAAGGTTACAAGGATTTAGGTACTATTAAAGTCCTTTAATTTCTTTTCTTTTTGAACTGAGGCCCGGTGTATGCTACACCATCAAGTCCTTATCTGTAGAATCAAGGGGTTTCAGACACATTTTTTCAAGTTTGCTGGACACTCCTGGGCCAGAAGTCTAATATTGCAAATGCTCTATCTGATCAGACCATTTGCTCCTTAGTTCACACAGCTACACGTGATGCATACTACACACGCTACCTGTGTTTCCAAGATGTTCCTACTGACCACCCTCACCCTGTCTGGGGGACTGTGGGGAGTTTAAGATAGGCACTGGTACATAAAACGCTTGCTGGTTTTCTTTGTATTTTTATGTTTCATCTGAATTTCCAACTAGAAAAAACACAGTTATTAAATGGCACCCATTCAGTTATTTCACCAAATTCCTACAGAATTAGATGAAAAATAAACATCTGACATTGAAATTAACTCTAAACAATATAGTATTTAGTCAATAGCCAGTTTGATAAACCTGTTAAAAATACATCCCAAACCAGGTGTGGTTGCTCACACCTGTAATCCCAGCATTTTGCAGGCTGAGACAAAAGGATTCCAAATTCCAGCCCTGCCTGGGCAACTCTGTGAAACTCTGTCTCAAAATAAAAATAAGAGTGGGATCTGGTTGTGCTTATCTGTAATCCCAGCACACTGAAGGCCGAGGCAAAAAGCTTACCGCTATGAGTTGCAGGTCAGCCTGAATTGCACAGCTGTCTCAAAAAGCCAAACTAAACTACACATTACATGAGCTGGGGCCGTCGTTCAGTGGGAAGGTCCTGGGTTTAATTCTTAATAATAGGGGGAAAAAACCACTAAAAAATACAACTCAGCCTAGCTGGGCACAGTTGCCCACATGTATAATCCCAGCACTCAGGAGGCTGAGGCAAGAGGAACTCAGAAGGGCCAGCATAGATTACACTGCCAAGTTCATGGCCAGCCTGGACTACAAGGTGAGACAGCCTCAAAAAACAAAAAAAGGTCCGGTGTCACAGCTCATGCTTGCAATCCCAGCCTCAAAAGGCGAGGAAGGTTGATATGAGAGCTCCAAGCAAGCCTAGGATTCACAGTGAGCCCCTGTCTCAAACAAACAAAATGACCACACACACTTCCAGCCTAATCCACCAATAATTAAATCTTGGCTTGATATTCAGATCACGATAAAGAAAGCCACACTGAAAAACTGGAGATGTAGCTGAGTGGTATAGTGTCCCTGGATCCCATCCCTACATTCCCAAAATGAAAAGACAGGTGAACCAATCACTACTTTGTAATACCCACCTTGCCCTTAAATTAGTTTAAAACTTAATTACAAAAATGTAATTATTTACACCAATATCTTACATATCAGTAATCGTACAAGCATAGCTAAAGCGTGTTCTAAAATAGTGCAATAAATTGCCATTTTGAAGAAATTACTTCACAATTTTAAAAGTATAATTACGTAATTTGTGGCCAAAAGAAAGTGTCCCTTGCAGAAATCAAGGTGGCAAAAAGGGAAACTCAGAGTATAAGATGGTATATGAAACTGGCTCGAGGCGAATGGAGGCCATCAGTTTTATGTGATCTTAACCCAGATATATAAGCAACAATACTGTTAACAACGCTCTCAAACATCCAAATGAGAGCAAAACTCGTCAATACATGGTTATGTCTTTATCATTTTCTAGGTTACGCAACCCACACCACTAAATAACACTCATTTTAATTTTTTTTTTTTTGCACAAAAACGTCCATCAAGTAGTGCAATAAAACATGTAGCTGCTCAGGATTCGATGCCAGCACCCCACAAAGGAAAACAAAAAGTGGCACCGAGACAGAATGCGTGGCCTCGGAAGGGGGACAAGTGGGGTAGGGCAAGAGCGAGAAACACTGAAAGGTCGACACGCAGGGACCAAAAGCGGGCCCGGCTGGCGCTCGTTTCCTCCCGCCGCGAGGCGAGCGGCGGAAAGCCAAAGAAGGGAGAGGAGCGTGGCAGACGAGGCCGCCGGGGCACCCGGGCTTCTCATTCATTCAGTCTCCAGGAGGCGGCCGCGCGTTGGCCGCGGACCGCCGAGCTCTCACCTGTCCGCGATTGCGTCCACGCGGCGCTCAAGGCCGCGGGCGCCGCCGCCAACAGCCTGGGGGACGCGGGCCGGGGGGCAGCAGTCGGCGCGGGCGATAGTCGGCGCAGGCCGGGGGCTGGCGAGCGTCGGCGCAGGCCGGGCGCGTCCCTCGTCAACAGGGCCGAGCAGAGCCGCCGCGGGCTCTGATACATGCCGGGCAGCACCGCCGCGTCGGAGGAGGAGCGGAGGAGCGGAGGCTAGGGAAGGCCCAGGCGAATGGACGCTCTTTTGAGGTTTCTCAAAGGGGCAGCGGAACGGACGCGGCAACGCGGCTCAATCCGCCGCGGGCTAGAGCGAGCTGGGGCGAGACCGGCGAGCGCTGCTGCTGACGAGGCGGGCGCTACCAAGTGCGAGGACGGGCGAGGGGAGATCGGAGGGGCCGGTCCCGCACCACCGGACGGAGCTGCCACCTTCCGGGAACGATCACTTCAGAAGGGTGGCAGCATTTAAGAATTTTCCCAGGTGGAAGTTGTGGGAGGGATAAAATAACATATTTCCCTTGGAGAGGGTTTAAATCAATCAGCGCCCCCTTCCGATGGGTGGAATGGAAGCGCCCACAGGCAGGGAATCCCGAGACCGGTCCAGGGCAGTGGCCCTGGGCACACGTGTGTGTCCGGAGGAAACTGGCTCCCGCGTGTGTGGGTCTGTGTGAGACCGCACCCTCAGGTGGTGGGTGGCGTTGGGTTGGGCGGAATTGAGCACAGTAAAACTCTGACGTAGGAGAGTGCCGCTGTGAGTATAACCACATTGCTTTCCTCAAGGATGTTATGCTCAGGCAAAGGAGGAAGCAGCTGACCAGGGACCCTGCTACTCTGCGAGGGAGGACATCCCTGCCTCAGATTGGGGGTAGAGGTAGATAGGCCTGGGGTCTGCAGAAAGTTTATTAGATGAGCTGTGGTTGGAGCTCTAGCATTTACATGTGTGGCATTTGGAACAGAGGCAGTGGTGATTTATATGAAGAAAGCAAATAAAGCCAGACTTGATGGCCCATGCCTGTAATCCCCAGCATTGTAGGAGGCTGAAGCAGGAAGCCCATCCTGGACCACTTAGTTGTCTTACTGACACCCTGTCTTAAAATGGGAAAAGGCTGAGGGTATAGCTTAATGCAACCTCCTGGGTTCACTTCCCAGTACAAAAAAAAAAAGAAGAGGCAAATAAGTTTTTAACAGTCCTGGGTATATTTGGAGATACACTTCTCAGTTATGTAAAATGGAAACTAAGGAGTAAGGACCGGTGCAGGGCTAGGTTGCATTTAGAAAGGCAGAGATCTGTATTAGACTTGATTTGGCTGATAGCTGCGAGCCCTTTTGTGAGCAGTTTAGGGATACAAGGGCAGTGTTTGAATTGGACCACTGCCTGTGGTCCATGAAAAGGCAAGCGAAAGTCCAGTTGAGACAAACGATATTCTGTGCCTGAACCAGGTTGAAGGGACTAGAAAGAGTGGGTGGAGGAAATAGCTAAGGTAGTTGGGGCAGGAAATGATGACTAACCCCGGGATGCAGATAGATGGAGTAGGCGGGGAAACTCCAAACTATTCCCTGCTGAATGGCATGAGTTAGAAATGTATTCTGTGGTTTTTCCCACGGTTTTGCTTGTTCTTCTCTGTGTGGACCTGTAAGCTATTCATCACCAAGGATATTCAAAATATTGTTCAGACCTGGATTAAATACCTACTGCCCATGAGGTGTGGATGAATCAACTGGCACAGCTGAGGACAGCCTCTGGAGCCAGACTCCTTGGCAGGTCATGAAATCTTCCTGGGGTCACTGTCCTTATCTATAGAACAGTTGTACCTGAAGTCATCAGATCAAAAAGGTGATAAACTTAGCCCATAAAAAATGTTCTGCAAACAAAACTTTGATCTGTCATCTAGTTGATGAGTATATGGGTTCACTTACAACTCTTTCTTTTCCATATGCTTGGAGATATTCATACTAAAATGTCAGGGGAAAGGGGCTTTGAAAAATGAAAGGTAGTGCTTAAATATAACAAGGCCCTGGGTTTGATCTCCAGCACCATAAAAATAACAAAAACAGCCTGCTGCCACTGCTACGTCTGAATCAGCACAGCAGGGACAGAGAGGCGAAATCTCTGAGTGGGAATTGGGGAATGGAGTTGAGAGCGGAACAGGCAGGGAGCCCTGAATCGACCTGTGGTGAGTGAGGGGAACGGGGATCCTTCCACAGACTAGGAGGCTCTAACAGAAGACATTCTGGGACCAGGCAGAATAGCCGGAACAGGACACTACGGTGACTTTAGTCACATATTCCCCTCTCAAGCGGGATTGGATTGGTAGGGAGCCCTGACCTGGGTGACGCCGCGGACTAAGACCCAGTAGGCTAGCCCAAACCAGGTCCCAGCACCTGGCGGTGCACTCTAGCAGTGAAGCCTTCAGTAGGTTGACTGAGCTGAAGGGGCGGGCCCAGCAGAGGCCTGTGTCTCCCTAGTGTCTGTGTCTCCCTAGTACACTGCAGTGGGCGGGAACACCTAGCCAGTGCAATTCAAACAAACTGTAACCGACAAAGAAACTGGGCCTCCTCTATACGCTTGTATGGAAGGAACAAAAAGTATGGGAAGAGGGAGCAACAAGAAAGGGTCCTTGGCCTCCAATCCTGAGAACACTGATCCAGGAAAGGTAAATGCAAAGGAGAATGAGGACAGAAAACATGCAATATCAGATACGGCACCAATAGACATAAAGCGATATCTCCAGAGCCTCATAGAGGAGTTCAAAAGTGAAGTATTTAATGACCTAAAGCAAGATTTAAGTAGAATAGTTACAGAAATGCTAAGCACCACCCAAGAAAAAACAGATGGTGGAATGAAAGAACAACAAAAAAAGGGGAGAATTGTTTAATGGTGAAAATAGAGAAAACATAGACTATGTGAAGCAGGTTCAAAGAGATTACCAGGAAACTAAAAACTCTATTGAAAGCTGACATAACAGCTTGAAAGAAACTAAGGATAGATTATCTGAACTGGAGGACAGATTTGTAATGTGGGAGCATGAAATGAAAAACTTCTTAAAAATAACAAGAAAACAAATAGCAATAATACAAAGGCTTGAAGATGATAAGAGGATCTATAACTTAAGAATTAAGAATGTAAAAGAAGTAGGCACACAAACAAATGAACTACAAAGGCTATTCACAGAAATAATCCAGGAGAATTTCCCTAATTTAGCAAAAGGTAAAGATACTCAGATGTATAAGGTATACAGGACCCCAGCCACCTACAATCCAAACAGAGCTACACCCAGGCACATAATAATCAAAATTCCAGAAATCCAATATAAGAACAGAATATTAAAAGCTGTCAGAGACAAGAAACAGATCACTTACAAGGGGACACCCATCAGAATTACAGCAGACTTCTCGGCACAAACCATCAAATCACTAAGAGCGTGGGGGGAAATAATTCAAGCTTTGAAAGATAATAACCTCCATCCAAGATAGATATATCCTGCACAACTGTCCCTAGAAATTGATGGAAAAACAAGGTGCTTCCAGGATAAAGAGGAACTAGGGGAATGTGCAGCCACCAATTCAACTCTACAGAGAATACTGCAGGACATTCTAAAAAAAGAAAAATACCAAGATTCCAGAAACAGTGGCAGAGAGGCTACAAGAGTGGAGCAGAAATCAAAATGAAGAAGACAAACTGACAATTAATGACAGAAAAAGAGCTCAACAGAAATGAGGCAGAGAAGGTTGGATGGTAGGAACAGCTATTTTGGAGAAAACAAGACATCATAATAGGTAGTGCTGATTTAATATCCTCTTGTTTTGAAGTCCCATCAAGCTTTTGTTCTTCTGTCTCCATTGGTCTTAACATGTTTTATCTTAATTGGATTTTATTATATGTGATAATATAAACAAAAACTTTTATAGACAAGGAGATTATACAGAAACCATTGTTCATTTTCTATTGGTTCTAAATACCCTGTAATACTGTCATTCTCTTGAATGGTTTTACATTGTCTTGATATGTTTGATGCTACAGTATGCGAAGTTATACTCAAAGATTTCAAGGAAAGAGACACTATGGTAACTACTTTTATGTCGGGATATCTGGTAGTGAAACACTATTTTGGTTAAATGGTTATGTTTTGACCTGTGCTGTTTTGCTGTTATGTCTTCTTTTATCACAATCTCCTTTTTTTTATTATTTACTTTTTTATTTTATCTTTTTAATTAAGGGAAAAATATAAAAATAGCAGGATATATTATGGTAAACCACTTTGATTTCCTATTAACTTGATTTGAAACCCTGTATTGTTCTCACCATCTTGCTTTGACTGATTTCCCTCTGTTCTGTTTTGCTTGATACTACCAAGTTCGAGAGTATAGACAACAACTGTGAAAACAATAAGATTCATTATAATGCCCATTCTGGTTTGATTATTATCTTCTTTTGAAGTCCTGTAATGTCTCCAATGTTTTGGTTTTATTGGTTTTGTTCTTTACTGTTTTGTTCAATTTTATTATAACTGATGATATAGGCAATTCTTTTTAAGATAGCAAGAGGCATTATAGAAACCATTGTTGATCACCTTGTTTTTTTTTTTTTTTTTACATTATGTATTATGTCCATCCTTTTGATTTGACTGACTCTGTTTTGTTATGTCACATTTGGTTTTATTCTCTTCAAAAAAAGTAATAAGAACTGTGGGAGTAATAAAACCCAAAATGTGTAATTGTCATTGTACAAAAGAGAGGGAAAGAAGTGCTCTAAAGGATAACTGCATGTATATTTAAGTGTATAAGATAGATAACCATATTACTGAGTTTTGTTGGATCATTGAACAGAACTGTTTGCAGTCTCACTGTTTGAATGTCCACTTTATATGCTTTAATTTTGTAACTTGAACAACTATTTCTAAGATGACAATATGTAATCTATTAACTAGTGATTTCCTGCTATTTATTTTTTCTGAAATTCTGTATAACTTTTACCCCTTTTCTGTTTTTTTTTTCTCCTTAAATAAAATTTTAAAAAAATAACAAAAGCAACATGTCATTACAGTATTTAAAAGGGGTGTGAAGGTTGGCATGTTGGCTCACAGCTGTAATCCCAGCACTCCAAAGGCTGAGGCTGGAGGATCTCTCTGAGTTCAAGGCCAGCCTGTACTTCATAGTGAAACCCTGTTTCAAAATAAATATAAAGAAATAAACAGGATTCCAGGCAGTCTTGGAGGGAGGAGCAAAAGGATCTCAAATTCGAGCCCAACCCTGGCAATTTAGCAGTATTGGCTTTGTTTTGTTTTGTTTTTTGAGATGGTGTTACTATGTAGTCTAGGCTAATCTTAAATTTGTAATCCTGCCTTGATCTCCCTAGTGTTGGGTTTATAGATACACACCATCAGGTCTGGTTCTCATCTATT